AAGTGACAGGGAGCAGGGCAGGGAGGGAAGAGGATGGTTAAATTCAGGGCTTCAGCTCACAAGAAACCACAGAAAGATCTTGGTAACCAGGTTAGGATATGCAGGACCATGGCAGGACCCGGGGAGTGGGGAGAGGGATAAAGGCGCTGGGTACTACTTATTGCTTGACAGAGCAGAGGGAAGGCTGTGTTGGAAATGGGGCTTGTCTACAAAAGGGTCCTTTGGGTGGAAATGACATCTTGCCCCACTAGCATATGACGCCAGAAAGCTGAGGAGAATTTGACCCCTGATTCTCGGGTTGTCCTCCTTCTCTCCAACCCCTGCCCACAGGATCAGTGAAGTGGAACCCAAATACTACGCAGATGGGGAAGATGCGTATGCCATGAAGCGGGATCTCACCCAGATGGCCGATGAGGTAAGTCTAGGGGGGCCAGGGCCACAGTCCCCACAGATAAAGAAGAGCAAGGTAAGTAGGGGAGCCCCTGCTGGAGGGAAGGTGAAGCTCCCAGGGGCCCTGAGACAGTGGGAGGCCTGTGATGGGCTAGAGACAAGATGAATCAGGTGCTAGCCATTGTGACTACGTTGCTGGGAGTCATGGTGCTCATCACCTGTTTCCCCAGCTGTCAGGTAGGGAGCTGGGCCTTGTCAGGGCTTTGAAGGAGGCCACAAGATTCCATTCTCAGGAAGAAGCCTGTGCCACTCTGAGGCGTGGTATGAGAGGCAAGGGAGGGAGACCCCTGGATGCACTGAGAATGAGGGCTCCAGGATAGCAGTGGGGGCCTGGGGACAGCCATGGCCTTCCCCAAGGCTCAGGGGTAAGACAAAACAGGGCTGAGGAGAAAGTCAAGTCCTACAGCAGCCCAAATGAGGGAGGCATGAGCATACTCCCTTTACAGGAGAGAAAACAGCCCCAGGGAGAGCAGAGCCAGGATTCAACTCAATGCAGTCCTGTGTTTCCTACCCTGGCCCTGCTGCCTCTCATTTTACCCTCTGCCCCCAGCAAGTGACAGACACAGGCTCCCTTGGGCAGCCAGAGAGGGCCTACATGGTCTGAGACTTAGGTCCTGTCGTCTTCCTCCTGCTTCTCCCTGGGCTCCTGGTGGCAGCTGAGGCGGCACCTGGAGTTGAAGGAGAAGGGCAGGCACACAGTGCTGGGCGCCATCGAGAACAAGGCGGAGAGCAAGGGCAACTCACTGCCCGGCTCAGGAGAGCCCGGTCGTGAGGAGAAGGGCCTGGCTGCCGAGGACAGCGGTGGTGACAGCAAGGACCTCAGCGAGGTCAGCGAGACCACAGAGAGCACCGATGTCAAGGACAGCTCAGAGGCCTCCGACTCAGCTTCCTAGAGCCTCCTCTCCCTGCCCTGGCCCTCCCATCCTCACCCGAGGTTACACAATAAACTTCACCCGGGGGGGGTTTGTGTGTGCGAGTGTGCGCGTTTGTGGGGGGTTGCCTCTCTCAGGCCCCTCTGTGTCCCTGTGGGGCTGGACCTCACGACCCTTTGGCACAGCGCATCCTGGAAAGTCCGAGTAGCTTCGTGTGGGCTTTGGAGGTGGAACTCCCAAGTCTGATGGCTTTCAGCATCTTTGGGCGCTAGGGAGGGAGACCTTGGAGTTCTGGGAGCCACCCCCACCTTGGAGACAGATGTTCTGCCTTCTGAGCCCTGCTCTTCACTGCCTTGCTGGGCTTTAGATGCCTAAGTCCAACTGCTCATCGGGGGCTTCTCCACTGATGTCCTATCTGGATAATGGCCCAACCAGCTACCCAGTTGCTGAAGTTCTGGCAACTGTTTTTGATTCCTCCGTCTCCTGCATCCAAAAGGTCAGTGGGTCCTGTGTCCCTTGAATCTACTTCCTAACCTAAGCCTTAATTTAAAAATAATTAATAGACTTTATTTTTAGTAGTTTTAAGTTTACAGAACTGAGCAGATAGTGTGGTGTTTCCACACACCCCATCTACCCCCTCTGTTTCCCCTATTAACATTTAGTATTGTGTTACATTTGTTACAATTGATGAGCCAATATTGATACATTATTAACTATAGTCCAGGATTTACATTTCCCTCTATGGATTTTGACAAATGCATACTGTCATTTCATGCAGAATATAAGCCTTTTATTTTTCACAGCTTCACAATCCCCAAATTTGTTCCTGTGCCCTTTTTTCTGGCTGCAGCGCCATCACTTGCTGCTCCTAGCCCCAGAGCAGGCTGTCTGGGCTGCCCACCTCCCAGGGAAGCTCAGCACTCCTGAGCTGTCACTACCTTATGTCCCTGCTACTGCAGATGGCACGCTATTCCCCCTGCCTGGCTGAATTTTTCGCCATTGGGCTAGAGCTCGCTTCTCATTGGCTGGCGCCTGACACGTGATCAGCAGGCAGCTAGGGGGCGGGGGTAAGGTCTGAGGGTTGCGTCTGCGCATTGCCGCTCGCTCGCTGGCTCCGGCGGCGCTTTGTTCTGATTGGCTCCGTTACTCGCTCCGCCCTCCGCGTCTGGCGTCAGTCCCTTCTGGTTCGCAAGC